CTCTCATTGGGGCTGGAAAGGTGGCTCAGTGGTAGAGTGCTTGCCTTGCATGCATGAGGCCCTTGGTTCGATTCCTCAGCACCACATAAGCAGAAAAAGCCAGAAGTGGAGCTGAAGCTCAAGTGGTAGAGCGCTAGTCTACAGCTGAAGAGCTGAGGAACAGTGCCCAGACCCAGAGTTCAAGCCCCACAACTGACAAAAAAAAAAAGAAAACTATAGGTGCTGGGGTTCATACCTGTAATCCTGAGGAAGTTGAGATTTGAGGATCATGACCAGCCTGAGAAGTCTGTGAGACTCTTACCTCAAATAATCCAGCAAAAAAACAAGACAGCCAAGTAGAAGTGTGACTCAAGTGGAAGAGCTCCAGCCTTGAGCAAAAACTCCACTGAAGAGCATGAGGCCCTGAGTTCAAGCCTCAGTATTAAAACAAAAGAGCTATAAAGCTATGGAAGTGGAGTTGTGGCTCAGTGTTATGAGAACTAGTCTTAAGCTTAGGGACAGTCCCCAGGTTCTGAGTTCAAGCCCTACTACTTACAAAAACAAACCCCTATAAGCTGGACATTAGTAACTCATGCCTGTGATCTGAGAATCATTCAAAGCCAGCCCAGGCAGAAAAGTACATGAGATGCTCTCTCCTAGACAGCAAAAACCTGGGCTGGATGTGTAGTTCAAGTGGCAGAGTGCCAGCTGAGCAAGCAAGCCCAGCAACCATAAGGCTCTGGCATGCGCGCACACGCACACACACACACACACACACACAGAGTGTGCACCCCATAAAGGCTATAGATCTCCCACATGAATGTCTGGCATGCACGTGCGCGCGCGCACACACACACACATACACACACACACACACAGAGTGTGCACCCCATAAAGGCTATAGATCTTCCACATGAGAGGCAATGTTTTTTTTTTCCCCATGGCTAGTCCTGGGGCTTGAACTCTGGGCTTGGCCCCTGTTCCTGAGCTTTTGTGCTCAAGGTTAGCACTCTACACTTGAGCCACAGCTCCACTTTAAAGCTTTTTCTGTGATTAATTGGAGATACGGCCATGGCTGGCTTTGATCTCAGCCTGACCAGCTTTCCCCATCCACCGCCCCCCCCATTTCTACTTTACCTAAATTAAATCCTTGCTAAAACTTAATAAAAAAAAATGCCAGGTAATAACACTCAGATCTCCCTATAATGCACTGTTGTACTAAGTGAGTGACTGAAGGCCTTTTTCCTCCCTTCTCCCTCCTCCCACGTGACCACACAGGCAGAAACTCAACAGGTCCAGGGCTTGTGCTGGCCCTCCCTTATAAACAGAGGCCTGTTGCCTTCCTACCCATCGTGGGTGGGGACTGCTAGCTTCATGGCCCTTCTATGCTTTCTTTTTTTGGGGGGTCAGTCATGGGGCTTGAACACTGGGCCTGGGCACCTGTCCTTGAATTATTCAGCTCAAGATGAGCACTCTACCATTTGAGCCACAGTGCCATTTCTGGTTTTCTGGTAGTTTATTGGAGGTAAATTTCATGGATTTTCCTGTCCAGGCTAGCTTTGATCTCAGCCTCCTGAGTAGCTACGATTACAGGTGTGTCACCCGTGCCCAGCCCCTTCTATATTTTGGCTGTTCCCATTCACTGATGCTGTCCTGACCCCAACACTGCTTGACTCTGTAGCATTAAGCTGGATGCTTTGCCTTTCTATGCCTTGGACTCCTTTTTATCAAATTTATTTTTTATTGGTTGTGGGACTTGAACTCTACGACTGGGAGCTGTCCCTCAGCTCTTCAGCTCAAGGCGAGTGCTCTACCACTTGAGCACCTCTTCTGGTTTTCTGGTGGTTTATTGGAGATAAATGTCTCAGTTTTCTGCCCAGGCTGGCTTAGAACCATGATCCTCAGATCTCAGCCTCTTGCACAGCTAGGATTACAGGTCTGAGTCACCAGCGCCGTTTCAAATTTACTCTTGAATGAGACTAGAAACCCTGCCTCAATCAGTTACTGCCTCCTAATCTTGAAGGGGCAGACTGGTTCTTGGGTTATTTTTTTGAGCAGAGCCCATGTCAGTGGGCTATTTCAAAGACTGACTGAACCTACAGGGTAGCAGGCTGCCCATTGAGGGGAAGAACTGGCTATACTGTTCTGAAGGTCAAGGTAGCTCAGCAAAGGCTGGACAGCTGCTAGATAGCCTGGTTCTGGGAAGGCCAAATTGTTTCTGAAGCTTTCAAAGCTACACCAGACCCAGCCCTGGAGCCCCCAACCTGCAAGCCTTTCTAGCCTACCCCAGGCTCACTGCCCTGCTCCATGATGCCAGGACTCCAAGTAGAGAGGACAGCAAGAAACTCCTGAAATATACTACACACACACACACAGTACATACTGTGCATAACTTTTTCTACTTCCACTTATAAGCACCCTACCACCAAGCTTCCCTACCTCTGTACCTCTGTATCCACTTTTTTTTTGGTCGGTCCTGGGGCCTGAACTCTAGGCTTGGGCACTATTTCTCAGCTCTTCAGCTCAAGGCTACCGCTCTACCACTTGAGCCACAGCGCCACTTCTGGCTTTTTTGGCTTATGTGGTGCTAAGGAATAGAGCCCAGGGCCTCTCATGCATGCGAGGCAAGCACTCTACCACTGAGCCACCTTCCCAGCTTTGCCATTGATTTTTGAAATAATGTATAAAGGACAATTCCTCAGCACCACATAAATAGGAAAAGCCGGAAGTGGTGCTGTGGCAAGTGTTAGAGTGCTAGCCTTAAGCTGAAGTGCTGAGGGACAGTGCCCAGGCCCAAAGTTCAGGCTCCACGACAGGAACGGGGGGGCGGGGGGGTGAGCTCTCTGGTGTCTTCTACCATCATACCTCCATCTCCAGCTTGCGACACATCACCCTGCAACATGTACCTTCTAGCGTGGTCTTCATCTGACATAGTCCCTGGTCTGTCTTGTCCCCTGCAGGGTTGCTGTGGGAACAGCTTAGATTTCTTATCAGTCATCACTGGACAAGCCACTGCACACTAACCAGGGTTATCAACTTCACATCCTAATCTTGCATGCATGGCTACACAGAATCTGTTAGCACTATTAGGAGACATCTTAGGAGACAATCTCGCTATGGACAGGAACCAAAGTTCATCCTATCCTCTAGTCCAGGGACTAGCTGAAGTAACCTAAGCACGTTCTAAGTGTATACATTTTTTGCACGTTCTAAGTGTATACATTTTTTTTGGGGTGGTGGTGGTGCAGGGTACTACAGTTTGAACTTAGGGCCCCCTAAGGTTTCTAGACAGGCTACGTACCAATTGAATGACATCTTCAGCCTAACCATTTGGGATAGAGCAGGCCATCAAAACCCCATCCTGTAACTTCCTGACAGGAAAGCACCTCTACCCAACTGCATACACAATTCCAATGTCCCCATGCGGCTTTCCTGTGGGTTGTCTGTCCTGTCGTCAGCAGCCTTCCCTTGGGCTGTCTCCAGGCTCTCTACCCTAGGGAGACACCATTATACAGCCTTTCATTCTACATGCCCCAGCCTGGCATCAATTTTCATATCTCCAAGAATCTTCAAGGGACAGTTCCTTGCCTGAACTAACTTAAGGTTGTTTATGTCTAAGTTTCTAACCAGAAACCTTGGCCTCTCTGTTGGGACCAATCTTGGGTTTCTACAGAGCACTTGGCTGGGTCTAAGTAACACAGCTCTCATGCTGACCTTTCCTTTCCCACCTGGCATGCCCCTCACCAAGCTTTGATGGGTGTGGGGACACTGCTGTAGCAGCAGAAATGGGACCGGGGCAGACAGCCCTGTCACAATGGGAATGAGGGTTTTCAGGGGGCATGAGTGTTTCCTAGCTCCTCATACTGCTACTACACTTGCTGTAGCTAAGTGTGCACAGCTATTTCAGAACTTCCATTGTACCTTCTCTGCCATGGTTTTAACACTCTCCAAAATCTTAACAGAAACTGCAGGGAGTAGAAAGGGAGGGAGCACAAGCAAGCTGGACCCAGGGGAGTCAGAGACAGCTGGGCTGTGGTTAAGTCATTTATTGATTTTATTTCTAAAACCCACATAGCGCCACTTTGCTGCTTCTAGAGCTTCAAAGAGCTAATTAACCGCCCAATGAGCCCACCAGGGAAACCAAGCTTGTGGGGGAAGCGATGAGGTAAAGCCAAGGTCAAAGAGGGCAGCAAGGCCCTAATTCCAAGTCAGTTAAGGACAAAGTGGGAAAAATGTACATATACTCCACCCCTCCCCAATTGAGGACCTGGTTAGGGAAGGAATGTGCCTGCTTCTCTGGGTTCCTCAAGCCCTGTAGCCCTTAGTCAAGTGTCTTAAGACAGCTCTTCTCAACCCCGCAACACCGGAGCTGACACAGAACCTGAGATTACCATGTGTTTTCCTGTTGCCACAATGAAACACTGAATCTGTTTAGATAGCCCAAGGCCCCCTTTGTAAGAGGAGCCTCCCAAGTGTGAGGGGCACTTTTATTTTGTCACTCCTCCCAAAGACCTGCAGTGCTGGCATGATGCAAGCCACCAGCAGAGAAAGAAAAAGACACTTGGCGGTTTTAATTTTAGCTGCTCTGTGCCTGACAGGCAAGATTAGTTGGTGTGACCTTTAGTGTTGATGCCTCCCCAGGCCCAAGGCCTTAATCAGGTGGCAGCTCACAAGCATATCACAATTGGAGCCGATCAAATGTAGAGATCCAAACCCTAGGAAAAGGCCTTCTAGAAGACAAGACTCCAGGGAGATATGGGTGGCCAGGAAGGGTAAGGCTAGTTACCAACTCTGTGAAGGGGAAGGGGAGATAGCAGAGCCACTCACACACCGTTCCCACCAACCCAGCCACATAGGAGGAGGCAGGTGAGTGGAAGGTTTCCTCAGTTCATGTCCTGTGGCTTCACTCCAAGAAAAAGAGAAGCTGGGGCCAGGTGCTAGAACACAAGGTAAGGTGACTTTGGTGCTGCTACAACGTGATAGCAGCACCTTCTTTTTTTAAAAGAAAATAAACAGACCCAGAAAACCACACTGCTCTTTTATTCAATGGAACATCCCCCCGTTAGCGCAGTGTTGATTGAATCAAACACCGAAAAAAAGCCCAGAGAAATTTCTGTAGATAAACCAGTGAAGAGAACGTGCGCTACACATTGTCAACATAATCTCTCCATGAAGAGGGAAGGGGGCAAAAGAAGCAGAACAAAGAACAAGGGGCTCAAACCCCTAGACACTGCAAAACATTCAGACATTTGGGATAAAAATAAAACAGAAAAAGCTTTCCAGGAAGGAGAGGAACAAATGGCCTCTGAGGCAGCTTAGGTGGTCAGGAGCAGAGAAAGGACTCCATGCAGGCCGGCAGGGCAGGCCCACTGGCCAGCCAGAAGCTTGTGCTGAGCCACCTACTGCTGGCACGAGTGCAGAGTGATGTGGATCCTGGGCCTGGAGATTAACCCACCCTCAGCAACTTCACATTTCACAAGACTTGACAACTGTGGCAACAAATTGCACACTTAAAAAAAGACAAAACATCTCTGGGGGTGGCTATGGCACCTTGAAAACCTTAACCAAAGGACACCCCCTCCCCCAGCCTGACAGTAATGGTCAAAGCCTGTGCCTAGAACCATTTGCTCCCCTTTCCTTTGCAAGGGATGGAGGAACGGAGACAAGGGAAAGGATCTAATTGCAGCAGAAGACCGGGGAGAGCATCTCCTTGGACGGAGTCTGAAGAAAGGAAGCGATAAGAAAAGTAACAAAGAAAAAATAGGAAAAAGAAAAATTAATAAAAATATCACGATATGGAGCCAGCGTGTTCCGATTCCGTCCACAAAAATAACTCAGGCTGCTTTGCCGAACCATCCTGTCCACCAGGGGCGCTGCTGAGGCTGTCTGCCTGGAAGGGTCACCAATGGGCGCGGAAAGTCCTCACTCTCATGGCTCGGGCCATCGCCGCTGCGGGGAGGGATCCTGGTGGCCCGGTTTGGGGAGAGGCAAAGGGAGTTGGGTGAGGAGAGAAAGACAAAGAAGACACTCGATGCTACGGGGCGCCAGAAGAGCCCAAGCTGGCGCCCCTACTACTGCCTGCGCATTCCCAAGCGAGTCCTCAGTCGCTTGGCCCAGCCCAGTGAGTGCACACACACACATGCGTGCACACAATCACATGCGTGCGTCCCAATGTCTGGCTCCATATGGTGAGGTTCGGCGTGTTTAAACGAGACCAGTTCTCTCTCTATATAATATATATTTTCTTAAAAAACCAAGTCTAGTTCTGTGGTGGAGGCGGTGGGGGAGCTGGAGGCATCCCAAAGGGTGGCATGCCCGCCACCCCCATGCCCATCATGGTGACAAAATTAGAAGGGTCCATGGGAGGCGGAGGAGGGGGGGGCGGGGCATACATCATGCCGGCGGAACCAGGTGGTGGAGGCGGCGGAGGGGGAGGGGCCCCGGGCGGCAGAGGCGGCTGGACCCCGGGGGGCAGGGGCACCATAGTGGGGTTGCCTTGCATCTGAGGGGCTCCTGGAGAAGCTGCGGCAGCCGCCTGCTGCTGTTGCCATGGCGGGATGGACCCTGTGCCAGCGCTCGTGGTGGTAGTCGTCGTATCTGGGGTGGTAAAGAAGCCCAAGGTCACACGCGCGGGGGGCACACCGCGGCTCTCTGCGGCTGCTGCCTTGGGATGGGGGATGAGGGGCGCCTGCTCCTTGCTTGGCATGCGGTACGGTGGTGGGGGGCGGGCGGGCTGGGGCTGTCCTGGTGATGGGGAGTGGAGGGGTGGGCAGGACTACCCTGGGGGTCAGCCTCAAGGTCTCTGGGCTTAACAAAGTAAGCCCTTTGTCACCAATGCCCCTGGAGGAGCTGAAGGTAAAATACCAGACACAAGAACCGGCTCTGACATCCCTCCGCCCAGCCGCCACCGCCACCACCGAACGGCACATTCAACACCAAGGCCACTGCTCTCTCCCCACCTCTGCAGTCGCTCTAGCCCAATCACAGCCCCCTCCAGAGCATGCATGCACCATCCCATTATGACCCTGCACACAAGGTCTAGCCAGCCAGCAGCTCACTTAGCTGGTGAGAGCCTGGACTTCTGGCGCCCTACCTGCAATAGCAGGCTCCCCTCCAGTCCCCACGAATCTCTCCCAGTCACAACCACACCAAACATCAGCTCTCTTCCCCAAGATATCCCCCCTTGGGCTGGATGGCCCCACTTCCAACCCCCACCAAGACATGCCAAGGTGTCTCCTGCCTGTGAGTCTTACGCCTCTCAGACCTAAACCCCATACCACCCACCCCCATAAGCCCAAAATATTCCACTCACTTTGCTGCCATGGCAAGGGGGTACTGGAAGCCATACTGCTGCTGGGCGGAGGGGGTGGCGGAGGCTGCTGCTGCTGCTGCTGCCATGGGGGAAGAGGACCAGAGGGAGGGGGCGGGGGCTGCCCACTGGGAGGCGGCGGCGGCGGCGGCATCATGCCCATAGGCGGCGGGGGCATCATACCTGCAGGGGAGGTGGAATACAGGTGAAACCTCAGAGAACCAGACCTGAGCCAGAGCCCCTGTTCACATTCAACTCCCAGGCCTCAGTGGAGACTCAAAGCAAGCTGACAAGGTTACCTTTTCCTTGATGCAGGCGATAGACCCCAGAGCCCACAGGCGTACTTCCCAGGTACTGATCTTGATGGAAGGAAAGAGCAGGGACTTAGCAGGACATTTGAACTGGCCATGGAATATATTCCCCAACAGCTTCCTCACATAGCTTGAGTCACTGGCCTTATGAAAGCCCTGCCTCTGAGCCCACCCACACAAAGTTTTCCCTGAGCCCAACAATCCTGCTTCCTCTGCAAAGTCAACAGGCCTGGCAAAAACTACCTACCCCCCACTAGCACTGCTTCTAGCTCAAGTCACCTGTCCCAAAGCCCCAAGGTTTCTGGTCTGACACTTACTTACCCATTGGAGGAGGGCCATGGTGCCCAGGTGGGTGGGGGCCCTGGTTCATCGGAGGTGGTGGTGGCTGCATCCAAGGAGGTGGGGGTCCATTTGGATTGTGCTGCATGGGATGTCCACCATGCCCACCTGTCAGGCTGGGCAATGGATGTGGGAAGCTGTGGGGGCCACCTCCAGGCCCACCAGGACCACCTCCATGCATGCCATGGTAGGGCCGACTCTCTGAAGGTCCAGAATTCATCCAGGGTGGGCGGCTCTGGGTGGTGGACATGAGAGACTAGGTGAGAGCATTTCCCACTCACGTCCCTGACCTGCTCCCCCTGGTGGCAACACTGTTCTTCTGGCTATGTCACAGGACCAAAACACAAGGATGAGGACTCCCAAAATGAGAGGTACCTACACCGGCCAGACATTCCAGAAGAACAGTGTTGCCAGCCATGTCCATCACTCTACCCAAAACCCTTGGCCATAGCTCCCAGTCTCTGTAGAAGAGCATGGGCAAGCTAGACCAAGAGACCCAGTCCTAAGGCTCACCGGAGGAGGTGGGTTATTGGCAGGAGCAGCAGGCCGAGGTGCACTTGCCAAGGGTGTGGTGGCAGGCCCAGAGGTAGAGCCCACAGATGCAGGAACAGGGGCTTCCCCTAGCTCAGCCATGAGGGACAAATATTCTTTATCCATCCTTGCTTTATCCTGAGCTGACTGTGGGTCACCAGGCCTAAAGGATGGAGAACACAAAAAGGAGAGAAAAAAAAATCACTCACAGCCGGGCGCCGGTGGCTCACGCTTGTAATCCTAGCTACTCAGGAGGCTAAGATCTGAGAATCGCGGTTCAAAGCCAGCCCGGGCAGGAAAGACCGTGAGACTCCTATCTCCAATAAAACCACTAGAAAACTGGAAGTGGCGCTGTAGCTCAAGTGGTAGAGCTCTCGCCTTGAGCTGCAGAGCTGAGGGACAGCGCCCAGGCCCAGAGTTCAAGCCCCATGACCGACAAAAAAAAAAAAAAAATTCACTCACTGGTTGCCACTAGTCAGTGACCCAATTCTATGACTCAATCACATTAACTACCAGCTACAGCTGACATTCTAAATGGCTAGGATCAACGAGTTTATCAAATCCTACCTTCCCAGCCTGAGAGAAAGGAAATCAATGCATCATCGAAGTAACTATAATACTCTCCTTAACAAAACTCTTACAGGCTTTTTTTCCTGTTGGTTGAGGCTCAAACTCAGGGCCTGGGCACTAAGCTAGTGTTCTACCACTTGAGCTACATACAGGACCACTTCTGATTTTCTGGTGGCTCATTAGAGATAAAGAGTCTCATGGACTTTCCTGTCGGGGCTGGCTTTGAACCGTGATCCTCAGATCCCAGACTCCTGAGTAGCTAGGATTATAGGCATGAACCACCTGCACTAGCTCTCACAGGTTTTTAATTGGTCAAATCTTGTCCTCAGTAGTATGTGTTGTATCAGGGCCTGAACTCAGAGCTTTGCATTCTCAGCCTTTTCATTTAAGGCTGAGCCTCTATCACTTAAGCCACCGCTATACTTCTGTTTGGGGGTGATTAATTGGAAATAGAAGTCTTACGGACTTTCCTGTCCAAGCTGGCCTTGAACTACAATCCTCAGGTCTCAGCCTCCTGAGTATCTAGAATATTAGCATGAGCCACCAGCTGACTGCTTGGTATTGAACAAATCTTAAAGCAGTAAAGGTAGTGAATATGAATATTGAGTCCCAGTGAAAATATAACCAATGACATGCAAGCTTCCAGTCAAGGCAAGTCAATAAAACAGAAGACTTCTATATGGCTTTTCTAATCCTCTTGAGCTATAACTCATAACATCACAGGTTTCTTAAAGTGTGCTCTGCTTTGGTGCATGAGACCAACAACTATAGTCAATGTGTGTCTTATATACCACAGAATGCCAGGAATCTACCAGAATGGTTGCTTCTCACCTCTGGAACTTGCAATCTGAAGCAATGTGACCAGCTCCTCCACATTTGGTACACACTGTAGTATTAGTGATGCTGCGGGTCTCTGAGCTCTGCCAGGGTCTTAAGATCCTGTTAAGGAAAAAAGTAATCAACTCAAGAGTGTGTGGACATCCCCTCTACTTCCATAGACTCTTTCGATCCTACAAAGCCTCCACTACACCAATCACTACCTGTTATCATCCTCCCGAAGTGTGCCATTCAAGCGAGCCAACTCCCGAAGCTGCATCTTCCGCAGGTCATTTTGGTCCTCTGGAGTCTCAATACCCTGTTTCAGGATGTTTCTGATCTAGTATAGACACAACAGCCAGTCAGTCAGTTGCTAAAGTACTTGACAACTACTTACAGTTCTGGTAAGAGGCTCTTTCTGGACCCACCACTCACCTGTTCTACTGCTTTTTTGACATTCTCCATTGTATTGGCAGTAACTAGGGCATGAAGGGGCTCATCTTCTCCTGGCAACATCTGGCCATCTTTGCGTCCAACTTTCCCTTCTTTCACAGACCCTTTTCCCCGGATCATGATCTTAGCATTGCACTCTTTCTCAATGTTCTTCAGGGTGTTCCCTCTATGAGAAGAAGCAAGAAAGATCTGTATTTATACCTATAACACAAGGTCATATGCCAGAAAGAACAGAGACTGGGCTGAGTAGGCATTTGTGGGAATCTGCAAGTATAGAGAACCAGCAAGATTTTCCACAAAGAGTTTTGTAACCTGTACTTTCAGATTACCCCCAACAAATCTTAAAATTTCACTTCTCGCCGGGCGCCGGCTCACGCCTGTAATCCTAGCTACTCAGGAGGCTGAGATCTGAGGATCGCGCCTTTCCATGAGACTCATCTCCAATAAACCACTAGAAAACCGGAAGTGGCACTGTGGCTCAAGTGGTAGTGCTCGCCTTGACCTGAAGAGCACAGGGACAGCATCCAAGACCAGAGTTCAAGCCCCATGATTGACAACAAAAAAAAACAGATTTCACTTCTCTGCAGTAAATGGGGAAATATCAACAAGAATTTCTAGCAAAAGAAGGAGCTAAACACAGTGGCCCTCATAAGGCAGGTGTTAACAGATTCTAAAGGAACTCTATACTACACAGTTTAGTTACTTACCTAGGTCCAATGAGCAGCCCCACAAAGTTGATTTCTGGATATTCATCTTGGGGGATCATTACTTTATCGCTCACACGTGTTGCTGGAGGTCTAAGAAGAAAGAGATTATCACCTTCTGCACACTTATGGGAAGTGACAGGTAACTAAAACCTATAGGTCTACTTGAACAAATCCGTGATACATGTACAAACTCTGCTGGGAACTGGTCGCTTACACCTACAATCCAGGTTACTTAGAAGCTTAAGCCATGAGGCTCGAGGTTCAATGCCAGCCCTAGCAGACAAATCTAAGATTCTTCTCTCAACTACCAAAAAGCTGAAAGTGGAACTGTGACTTCAGTGGTACAGTACAAGCCTTGAGTAAAAAAGCTAAAAACTAGTGCCCAGTCCCAAACCCCCATATCAGCATACACAAAAAAAGAAATGAGTAGTTTTACAAAACTGCCCCAACTGGTCATATATGACTTGCATGCTGTCCCTAGACTACCTAGCCCACTCCTCTGCTTACTTGTAATCTGCAGGTGGCTTAAAATCAGGATTGAGGGCAACCATCTCTGTAATAAGGTTGTGCCGTTCTTCTTCGAGTTTTTTGCGAGTGCGGAACTCTCGAGTATTAAGCCTCTTCCCCTCGCTGTTGTAGATGGGTTCAGGGGAAGGGGACCTGTGGGAAACAGACCTCATTACTGCTCCACTTCAACTTCCCTTATTCCCACATGGACTACAAAGTCTTCCCAGCCCTTCTGCCTCTCAGACCCTAACAATACTCTTCGGAGGAACCGACCATAACGTGTGCTATTCAAGATCGTGTGGAATGGTGAGATGAAAGCTGGCTTAGCATTAGGGGAACTGCAGTGTATATGAGAAAGGAAAAAAAAACGAGGGATGCTTCTAAAAGTGACAGGGGTGGGGAGAATTGTCCTTTAGAAGACAGTATTTGGGCTGTAAATGGCAAGGACAGTAATATCATTCTCTGGAATCTTAACAATATGAATTTTCTTTGGTTTGAAAAAAATTCTAATAATCCAACCTGATGAACCATTGAAACACCCCAAGTTTAGGTCAACTGTTAATCCTTGGAGAGCTCATGCCTATCAGGAAGAGCATCTTACACCCCTGACACTTAGTAAACACGAGCTCTTTCACCCAAAGCAGCTGGGACTCAAGCTACTGCAGCTACTTGGCCCCCCCACAATGGAGAGAGATGGTGCAAGGCTTCGTCTTTGCTTTTCCTTCAATGGCCTGGCTGGCTGTGTCCAAGGCCCGGTAGACAACCTGTTTCTGGCTGTTCGAAGTGGGGAGTCTGGGTAGAGAAAACCGTTAAAAGTGCTAAAGCAGCTTCTGCAAGAGGCTGCCAATGCAGATTGGGTCAAATAGTTGTCTAGGGTCTGAACCTGCCAACAGCAAGGGGAAACCTATCATTCTCCACCAGTTTACAATTCCAGAAAGCAGATTTTTCTTTCATTTTTTGAGTAGTAAAATGCTGATGCTATAAGCAAAAAAACAAAAACAAAAAAAACAAAAATAGTAATGATAAAATGGTCAGTTTACTACAGCTAGCTTTTTGCGGTAATTACTTAAAAAAGAGAAGTTACACTCCTAGAACTGAGTTGAGATTACAAAAAGGACCATAAGCTTGATATTCTGTATGGAAATTTAGTAGCAGCTGCAAGAAGGGAAAAAACCATGTGGATCAGGTTATTAAAAAAAAAAACATCCTGAAAGTAGTCCAGACTCCTATACCCTTGGCTTTAGTTGAGAGAACTTTGCCTAGTTGGAGAGCAAGGACTGAACTCGGCTGCTCCCACTGTCTTCAGCCTAAAGGGAACCATGTCATACCACGTTACACACACGATGGAATAAAAGGTCAGGTTTGTTCATGGCTAATGACGCTAAATGACACCTCCGTTTCTAGCATTTATATAAACTGTTAGCACAATCCAGTGATAGTGAACACAACCAAATGTATCCCCAGCTCATTAGACTATCATCTTATACATTTAAGTCTACAACAGATTATTAAGACATTTTTAACTGTGTAAGTTAAGCAACATTAAAAGAGCATTATAAAGTGGCTTAATTTCAATACACCTTAAGAAACCATCTTATTAAGGTAAGAAACTCATGTATTTCCCTCCAACCTGGGCTCAAAAACAAAACCAATCAGGCACAAGAGCCTCTTTCAAAATTGAACACAAGGGAGGAAAAACTCTGCTCTGGTTTTATTTCTAACATACTTAACATTTCTAATGCCCACCCCAAGTTTGTCTAGAATTAAGCATCTCTGGCTAATCACCAAACTGGCCTTTTAAAGGCATCACAACAATTTAACCTCTTCCCAAAGTGTGGAAGTTAAAGGTAAAAAAATGCTAATAATCTAGGTTAGACTGGCAAACTTCTTCACCTAGAATAAGCACTGGATGGATCAACTAAACGCTAATCCCAGTTATCCAGGAGGCAAAGGTTAAAAACTCAATCTTTGGAAGAATTTCCTGGTAACCTGTGGACGTATTATTAAAGGGAGAAAGGCCAAAAAGGCACTGAACAGTTGTGGTCTATAACCTACCATGTGAATTTTTTTAAAATTAAAAAACTAAAAAAATCTTCAAACAAAAAATATAGAACTAAACACAATTTTCCAACCAAAATCTATAAGTAAAAACAAACAAATTTAGTAAGTAAAATTAGTCAATATGCAGGGGGGAAAAAGTCAATTTGTTTCTTGGCAAAGGACAGCAGAAAGATGCATGCTTGAGTGACTTCTTGGGAGTCAATATATCATCTTCCTGACTTAATGAGCTATTAATTGGGTACAAAAGCTCTCACTACTTTTCCAAGAAATTATTCTGCATGCACTAAAATATTCCAGTGAGAAAAAGCAGTGTTTTTATTAAATGACTAGACTTAAGCTGTTCAAAGATCAGCCAATAATTCACCTCCCTCATACAATCTTTTTATTTCTCAGAAGGGAGGAAAAAAACTAAACTGTAATGATAGTACCACAGCTGTTTGAGGCCCACATTCCCTCTATTAAAAAATAGAGTAACAGGATTGGTTGCTTGCCTTCCCAAAACAAATTATAGACTATTCTGGCCCCTCCCACCAACCCCTGGGGCAACAGCCAAGTCTGAAAATTAATTGGCAATGAAGCAAGTTGGTTAGAAACCTCATCTCAAAAACAGGAACAGGAAGACTCCAGCAGTTAAGTCATCCATGTTTCTGGCCTGCTCAAATTCAGTAATATTCAAAAATTTTCTTAATCCCTACATTATGTTCCTGTGAAAAAAACTATGCCCTCAAGCTTTCAGCCAAAGCAGGTACTGAAGAGGTTTAATGTCATCTTTCACTGTCTTTTAAAGGTGGTAAATCAGGTTAAAATCTACATGCTTACCAATTAGAAACCAGTTGTCCATTTTCCTGTAACTTTTTATTCTCTCAGTATTTAAGTTTCATTCCAATTTTCTAACTGTTGACTGACCATATATATACTGCTAATCAAACCCTAGTCCCAAAATGGTCAGAGCACCAATCTTAACTAGGATTTTATTGAACTCATACACAATATGATGCCACCAGTAAAATGTATTGAGAAAAAAGGTAAAAGCGTTACTGTCAGCTGGTTAAAACTGTTTCCCAACCTGTCCTCAGGGTTAGGGGGGATGCCCAGGTCTCCTGTGCGCAGTTTACGAGTCAGGTCTTCTATCTGCAGTTGCACTGGAAGAAACCAGGTTAGGAAAGAAAAAAAAAGGATGGAAAAAAGACAATGTTACCAAAAAACATCTCAAATCTCAACAATAAGCATGAAGAACTCGGAGACTTTGAAAGGGATGACTGATCAGTGAACACATTGAGGCAAAAACCCCCAACCACCTATTGGCAGAAGTCCATTTACATCTATAGTGTTTTTCACTTCAAAATGGTTATCACTTAAGGAAGCAAACAGTTTGTTGGAAGAGGGGTTAGCAGTGAAGACTCTTCACTAGGGCTAACATCGAAACAATTATTAGAAGGATTCACCTCTCCCTCCCCATCAACGATTGCTTACAACTGGCACTCAGAGCCAACACCATATATCATATCACCGTAACCTGGTTCCCACCAAACTGAGTATTTTCTTTTCATTAAATACTAAACAGTCCAAAATGAGACCCAATTAACAATGGGACAAGGAAAAATACCAGTTGAACATGTTTTCATGATGACCTGGTTAAAACTCCTTAAACAAGACATTTAATAACCATTTCAACACCTTATAGAAATCTGTGCATTTGCTTTCTGTACCATTAGACCTGTACATTCAGGTCTCTCAGTAGACAGTTTTTATTAAATGATAAACCATATACCTTTTCATAAACCAGTAGGCATAAGGTGCTAGTTGCTTATCTGCAGATCTACTATTAATTTAAGAAGGAGGTATGTAAAGATAGAAAATGTGGGTCAAGAAAAATGTATATGCCAGGAGCTGGTGGCTCACGCCATTAATCCTACTCAGGAAGCTGAGATCTGAGGATCGAGGTTCCAAGCCAGCCCAGCCCGAGCAGGTAAGTCCATGAGACTCTTATCTCCAATAAACTACTCAGAAAACCAGAAGTGGCACTGTGGCTCAGTGGTAGAGCGCTAGCCTTGAGCTGAAGGACAGCACCCAAGCCCAGAGTTCAAGCCCCACAACAAGGGGGAAAAAATGTGTATGACCTCAGGCTACATTAAAAAAGAGTAAAAATTTCACAGAAATTGTCTGAAACTTCAGGGAAAGGTAACAGGTAATGGGGCTGCAGAGCCAGAGTGATTTTCAATGTGCTGAATAACCTCCTGCTCCTTACCTTTGTAGTATCCTAGATCTCTGAATGGGCATCATTAGTAAAAACAAGTCTTATTGGGTTGAGTTAAAGTTGAGCTATTTCCAAGACAGAATTGATGTAGATCTGTCTCTAAATGTTCTTCTAATTTTAAGCATGTCCCACAAGACCTTAACATGACAACCTTACACTGAAACCCTGAAGAAATCAAAGTTCATTAATAATGGTATTGGGAGGCTGGGCGCAGGTGGCTCACACCTGTAATCCTAGCTACGTAGAAGGCTAAGATCTGAGGATCGAGGTTCAAAAAGCCAGCCCAGACAGAAGTCTGTGAGACTCTTATCTCAATTAACCACCAGAAAACCAGAAGTGGTGTTGTGGCTCAAGTGGTAGAGTGCTTGCCTTGAGCTGAAGAGCTCAGGGACAGCGCCCAGGCCCAGAGTTCAAGTCCCACAATTGACCAAAAAAATAAAAAAGATGTAATCCTAACTATTCAGAAGGCTGAGATCTGAGGATCACACTTCAAAGCCAGCCTGGGCAGGAAACTCTGACTTTTATCTCCAATAAACCACTAGAAAACCAGAAGTGCTGCTGTGGCTCAGGCGGTAGAGCACTCGCCTTGAACTGAAGAGCACAGGGACAGCACCCAGTTCCAGAGTTCAAGCCCCATGACCGAACAAAAAAAAAAAGGCATTGGAGACATTCTGGATGAGACAGTATGTACCACAGAAAATAGAAGATGAGAAAGATACCCAATTCCTTGCTAGGTAAGTTGACTTTGTAATCAAGTAACTGCAGGAGAGTTGTTGACAATTGAGGAGGAGGGGGCTAAACATGAACAGCTCATACCAAAAATTAAATCAAGGGTTGCTATTTTCCTTGCGGCAGGATCTCTAACAGCCTCTGCTTTAATTCTACTTTGATGAAAGCTGTAAGTAGTTCTTAGGACTCAGTGCATTACTAGACAAGATCTCTATGATAAGAGAATTGGAGTTCTAAATTTCATTTTCCCCACTTTTCACATACGTGTTCTGGTGATGACTATACTAGGAGCATTCCACAAGGCTATCAAATCTGACAATGGTAGCTGGGCGCCGGTGGCTCACACCTGTAATCCTAACTACTCAAGAGGCTGAGATCTGAGGATCAAGATTCAAAGCCGGCCAGGCAGGAAGTCCATTGAGACTCATCTCAAAAAAAAAAAAAACAAAAAAAAAAACAAAAAAACACCAAAAACTCAGAAACCAGAAGTGGCATAGTGGCAGAATGCTAGCCTTGAGCTGAGAGACAGCGTTCACACCCAGAGTTCAAGCCCCATGACTGACAAAAAAATAAAAAGAAAAAAATTCCAATAATGATCTGATGAGACCTAAGGGGTTGGATGGAAGTAAACAGGAATAGGGAGAAAGCAGTAGTAGTCAGGAGATAATTTCAATGCCTCAAAATTCCCAGCAATTTAAAAACCAGGAAATTAGTTGGGTGCAGGTAGCTCACACCAGTAATCCTTGGAGACTGAGATCTGAGGATCCCAGTAGGAAGCCAGCCTGGGCAGTAAAGTGGGACTCTGTGGGACTCATCTCCAACTAAGCACCAAAAAGAAAAGATGGAAACAGAGCTTTGGCCCAAATGGTAGAGCACTAGCCTTGAGTAAAAAACTCAGGGACAGCCAACTCAAGCCCCAAGATCAAGTCCCAAGACTGACCTCCATCCAAGAAAAGGAAATTAAGAACCTCCAAATTCAGACCTTGCTGGCCTTGAAGCTTTTTGTTTGTAAAGGCCATTACAAAGCCTCATATGAGGAAGTAATCTTAAATCGAATTTCTTCCAAAGAGATGTTTATTTGGTTAGTAGGAAATGTTCATCTAGTGCACCTTTTCAAGACAGTTGCACACACACACACACACACACACACATATATATATAAAACCTTGCATTAGGGACCTTGCATTAAAGAAATAATTTTTAGGTTAATTCAAGTTACATTTTGGATAGCCACTCTTAGTTCTTGACATCTCCCAACCGAGATCTTTTATCCTAACACATCATTTCATATCAAGCAGTATAGTCCTTCCCAGTAGAGTCCTTTAGTAGTAAATACAAAGAGCCTTCATCTTAAGACAGCTCTGCAAAGCCCAAACCAGATGCTGAAGGGAAGGTTAAATTCAACAAAATAGTAAAAGGGGTAAACTGTAAGTACACTTTCAGAGCCACTTTTTGTTCAAACTGTTTGGTACCTATAAAAAGTAAAACCACATTTTAGGGAAAGGGAGGAATATGAAATTATAGTGAAAGGTCATGCTGTGAAAAAGGTACCTGGTTTAAAACGACACATCTGCAGTGTTCTCCACTGGGGCCTGTCCAGAGAGGCAGATGACACTCACCTCATCAACTGGCAATGCACAGCAGCTGAAAACGTTTAGCTGCTGACTAGAGAGGCTATTTACTCCTAAGTGGGTCCTGCTACCTTCCTGGCACTTGTGGAGAACACTGCTGTTAGGAACAGATCAGAACAAGGAGCTGCTGATGCAGGACTCACTAAGCAAAATCTGAAGGTTACACCAAAGTCATGAAAGTACACCTGATCATAAGTAGTCTCAACAAAGAACGCTAAAGCCTCTAACTTCTTAACAAATGTGTAACTCAGAAAAAATACTAACAGTAACAATCTAAAAAAGTGCTTAGATACAGAACGTGTATTTACCTATATAAGCTCTTTCTTGCTCCCGAGTAAGTCCAGGGGGGATAACTGTGGGCATGCCTGGAATCACTGTCTTCTGTTCCATTGTGTCTTGATTCCAGCGGCTCCGCTTCCGCTTCTTGCTTGGAAAGTCTAAAAGGCAGACAAAGTCCATCAGATACAAATACAGACCAGCAAACATTTAACTACTAACAAGTTCAGCAGCCTTAACATATCATACAGAACTTCGGCAGACTAAAAACTAAAACCTTGACCTAACGTTAAACAGTGAATGGAAGATAAACCTGAGGCCAAAGATGCAAACACTCTGCCGCCATAGGGGTATCTGATTGTGTATTAAAACCATTATTTCACACATTTTTTCTGGAAGAACTTCCTTCCCTTCTCACCCCCTCAGTGTATCAACCAGTGCCATCAACCCAGGTCCTCGCATATGGCTCATGTGCACTCCATCACTGAGCCACACACCCAAGCCCCCAACATGGTAACTAATAATGGGACTGTGGCTTAGTGGTAGAGTGCTTGCCTAGCATGCATGAAGCCCTCCCCTGATCCGATTCCTCAGTACTACGTAAACAGAAAAAGCTGGAAGTGGTGCTGTGACTCAAGTGGAAGAGTGCTGAGTTCAAGACCCAGGATTGCGCCACCCTCCCCCCCACAAAATTAAAGTATGAAATAGATACATATAATTAACATGTCAAATGGTCTAGCAAGACAAAAACTGAAGCATCACGAACAGGCTATAACAAAGCAGTAATCAGAAACTGCTGGCTCTTCCCACCAGTCACCTGTCTAAAAGAGCACTAACACACTATACTGCACTCAGTGCAAACCTCAATTGTTTCTTTTCTTCATTAGTGTATTCAAGAATAAAAAATTTAAGCCAAAACGAGTAACAGCTAAATTCCTTTTCCTTGTATTTCCCACAGGAATTCTTTTTTTTGTACTTCCCAGGAATTAAAAGTCTTTTGAGACAATGAGGAGGAAAAAGATTGGACGTAACTACTCCCTGAAACCTTTTAAAGCCTCTCCAAGGTAAATATTCTGGGTATTCCCCTTTGTTTCTTCTAAAACCAAAAAGGGAATCGTTCCGCTATGTCAGCAGGCCTTTCCACCCTACACGGCACCCATCATATCCCCCATTTGACAATTCTACCTCATCGGGTCGGGGGCACAAGATGGAACTACCCGGCTTCCAGAGTTACGCCACCAAGCCATGGTATCAGACTGCGACTGCGCAGAGCACTCCGCCTCCCTTCCTCCCACCACCTCCCTCCCGCGGCGCGCGTGCGCACTCGAGGCCTCGGGAACCAGGCCGCGCGCGCGCCCTGGGGCACCTCCGCCCGGGCCTCCCACAAG